GGGGGGAGGCTGCCAGCATCATGTTGCCACCAGCATCCCCAGTTTTGCCAGAGAAGGACAGTGCATCTGGAGCCAGGCTGGTGTGCTCCTTGGGACACCCCCCCACCCCACCCCAGTTTTGGTGAGAAGCCCAGGAAGCCAACGGCTCCGGGCAGGGCAAACGCAGAGTCCAAACACCCGAGCTAATAAAACCACCGTTTGCTCACAGCCGGCACGAACACGCAGCCCAGGCTCACGCGAAAGGTCACAGTCTGCTTCCCCCCGTCCCAAACAGCCTTGCCGGGCAGAGACGTGTCCAAATATAGCCTTCTCCCTGCCTCCTCCTCAAGAAACCAGGGCTTGCCCAACAGTGAAGAGACGTTAGTGGGAGCCCCAGGATGCTTCCAGCACAAGCTCGTCTTTCAGGATGCTGCCCATCTCTTGCTGCTGCAAGGAGAGAAGGATTTTGGGGGAAATCTGCCCGGGATGGGACTAGGGGGGCTCATGGGATCTTAAGACAGTGGGTTACAGACGGTGCTTGCACACCGAGCGAGATCCAGACTCGGTCAGCTGGGGAGAACGGACATAAAGCCATGGAGACACCCAGGATAACCCTCAATGCCATGAGCACTGTGAGGAGGAGGAGGAAGGCAGCCAGGGACGCCTCTGCCCCCTCACATGCATTTTGGCAGTAACCCCATAGGTGAGGGCAGGAGCGAGCCAGGGGTGTCTGCAGCCAGAGGCAGCCCGTGGCTTGGACAATTTACAGCGTAAATAGACAAACGGAGACCAGGAAGATAATTATTAATCTGGACGCTATGCCTGGAGAACTGCAGCCAAGCGGGGAGTGAATTGCTCCCCTATTCATCCACGCTGTGCGGCTCTGCAGAGCCAGAGGTACCCTCAGCACAATCCTCCTTGCAAGGAGCAGCACCCTAGGCCCTTGCTCTGTGAATTACCAGAATTCAGCACCGTTAGAGCTAATAGATGCTTGAGGAGGACCAGCCCGAGACCCCAGGTGCACCAGCCTCATCCAACACCTGCTGTTT